ACTGATGTGGAAGAATAAGACTCTGTTGTATGTTGTTTTCTTAGATCATTTTAAAGTAACATGATTTAAGAAAATACCTGATAGTGTTAGCACAATTATGACATAACAACTTCTTCTTCTTCTTATAATTATTTTAATTTTTATGACACAAAAACGGTATTAAAAAGAAATGTGCTTAAGTTGCAAAAGTGGTAAAAAAAAAAAAAAAAAAAAAGAGATATTTTTAAAGAATAGTGTAATAGATTAACACTCAGCTTGTTAGGGTTGGTGAACTGTGACACAGGAAATGGATCCAAGAAGCAACAGAGGTTTAGGTGATTTTAAAAGAGGGATTTATTCAGGCAACAGGGAGCAGGTGACACCAGGAAGCACATGAGGGAAGCCGAGGGAGGGAGGGAGGTCCGGGTGTGGTTTGAATCGTGACAGGAAGGCTGTACGGCTGTGGCTGGGCTGGGGAGTACGTAGGTCCGTCAGGGAGGTTCTGGTGGCTCAGACAAAAGCAGGAGGCAGACAAAAGCGAGTTTCTCTAGGCACGAAACATCTTAAGCAAACTTGCAGGCCTGTTACCACTCGTGCGAGAGTCAATCAACTGGAGCACAGGTGGAGGCCGGCTTTATCCAGCGCTGACTAGTGAGGGCCCTCAGGTATGGGAGGGAGTGAGTGAGACTTCTCCTGTTCAAAACCCCACCCAGCCTGAAACACAATACGCAGCCACCAAAAACAACAGGAACAGACAACTAAACAATATTTCAGAATAACAGCGCAAAACTCGGATCACCACAAGCTTGTTACTTTTAATGATTAGGACAGGAGCTGAAGTTATGTATACCTCCTTTTTTTTTTCTCCAGTTCTCTTTGAAGGTTTTGATTTGACTGTCAACCTTGAAACAGACACTGTATTATTCCTGCAGAAACACACAACAAGAACACAACTGAATGACATTTGTATTCCAAATGCGTACGTTGATTGCGATAGGTGTTTCATGTGTTGCAGGATCAATAGTTTAAATGTTTGTTTCCCATTTAGGTGAGTTAAGTGTTTGGTAATTACTGTGTAACGTTTTTCTAACATGTCTATCACTGACAAAGAGTGTTTGTTTACAACCATCCATACTTTATCCACCCCGCTGGCTGGGCATCTGTCCCAGTATTGATCTGCTGTGCAAACTCATGTTGAGTTTCAAGCAAGCAATGAAATAATTCATGTTGATGGTAATTAAAAACAAATGGATTTTTTGCAGTCCACAATGTCAAAGCAACACAGTTTAACCCAAAATACAAGCCATGGTCTGGTTTCGTCTGTGCACGGCAGTGTGCATGTTATTGCTTCAAGACCGCGGCGTGCACGCAGTGATCCATGTATCGACGAGCTGCACGAAACGAGAAGCTCGACTGCTGGATAAATCTGTGTTGGAAACCTTGACTCAGGTCGTTCAGATTCAGAGATTTATGCTTGATCACAGTCAAGAGGCAACTTTTAGGGAATAATTTGTTTACGTGAAAAAATACTTGAAGACAATTGGCTGTTGAGCTGCAATAGAAAAAACTAATTTTCTTACTTTAACCAAAGTTACAATATCAGTTTAAAGGCACAAAGTGTAATTTCAAGTTGATAGAATTCAGAATAGCAGACTGCCATCACTAAACCAGAAAGCTAAATGAGATTCATTCAGAGAAGTCATTTACATCAACTGCAGCTCAGATAGACTTTTTATAATTCACATGTAATGCAGAAGAACACACATGTACAATAGTTTATTCTTCAGCAGCACATCGTCTTTAAACCTCAGCATGCAAAGGTCCTCTATATATAGAGCCACAACATATGCACATAAATATTCATGGGGCTGCCACAAGGTGCTATTTTTCTATTTTTTTTAATTGATTGGCCGTTTCACAGATTAGTTGAAAAATCTATATGATTTTTTTTTTTGTTTTTTTGTTTTTTTTAAACAAAAAAGGTGAAAATGACCATTTCATTTAATTTGGTTCCATTTTCCACTTTGCCACTGTATGTCATGTATAATGCAGCACAGTACGAGTCACGGTAGAAACAGTATTACAGAGTAAAATGTGGTGATCATGAACAAAGCAGTGATAAAAAATTCAGGTACAAAATCCTTAAAATGTAACTAATGTGTCTGAACAACAAATTTCCTGACCCTGACTGCTACTGGGGCTGATACTGGGGCTACTGGTGATGCTGGGAGTTCATCAATGTCAGTCTGAACTGTAATTACTGATAGAGAGAGAGAGAGAGAGAGAGAGAGAGAGAGAGTAGCCTGCAGGCAGCCAAACTGTGTCCTGGTTTTCCAGTTGTTTTCGACTCAATCACTGTGTGTGTGTTTGTGTGTGTAGTTGTGTGACTTGTGTGTTGGGATCAGGAACATGTTTATCGAGCCACAGTGTCGGGACAACACAGTTTAGACTTCACACTTGTTTCCTGCACTTGAAAAAAAAAAAAAAACCACTGCCAGCAAGGCTGCCAAAAAAAAAAAAAACGTTCAAAATGGTAGAATGCTGTTCAGAAAGTGTCAAAACTGTGAAAATATTGTCAAATAAAAAACAACTTTTTCATAAACAATTGTCAAAAGAGTCTTAAAAGTGAAGATTTTCTGCTTTTGTTTGCCTTTTTCCTCTGTAAACGGAATGTCATTTGGTCAACATGACAGCACGTTTTTCATAAAGAAGAATGGCGTCAGTCTGGAGAGCTTGGCTACGTTAAGTCTCTGTGATTGAACTGTGTGAGTGCATTTGGCTCCATTAGCAGACTTGCTTTAATTTTGGCACATGAGAAGTGAAAATAAATAAAGAACGTAGCATCAGTACCCACACGTCCTGGACCGGCGTGTCATTTTTAGAAATGCTTTCATGGTTTCCTTTTAAAAGCAGTGAGTGGAGTCGGAGTCAGAGCATCAACGCTGACCTCTGACACTTCATGGTCACCTAACAAAGGCTGCCCCTCTGACTCAGCTCCATTGTCTGTAAATAGGACAGTTGGTTGGTGGACGCCCAGAGACGTACAGATGTCTCAGACGAACTCAGCCAGTTTCATGTGTGCTGGGACACATCAGCTGCAGTCTTTGAATTCAACCAGGGGCGTTGCTGGACAAAGTGTGCTAAACAATGTGAAGCTATATGAACTTTCCTCACTTTGCCTATTATTGCTGCCGCTGCTGCTGAAAAAACTGGTAAAAAGGAAAATGTAGAGATTGTAATCTTTATAATAATAATGTATAATAACAAAACCTAACTTGAGTCAATGACCCTCTGAACCAAAGCAGTTTCAGGGTGTTTTTCTTTGTTCCTGTCATAGTTTTACTTTCTGTGAGCTCATTTTTCACTCCAATTTAAGTCCTGCACCTCTATGGAAGCAGCACAACCACAGTAGAGAGACTCAGAAATGTCTGTTTAGCAGTATGACAACTATAGTGCTCTAAATCATAAAAAAAACAGGAAGCTTGAATTTCATTATTATTTTACTAATTTGATAAAAAAGCTGTAATGTGGAGCATTTACAACATTTTTCCAAATGCCCACAGGTGTTACTATGACTGGGGGGGAATGCTCTCTCTGTATACTATAGTTGGCAACTGTACATGCTTACATTTTGAATTTGTTTCCATTCTTGTCTCCTATCTGCTCTGTGTAACCACAGCCTGCAGTTCAGCCGAAAAGTCCCTGAACTTTGGTTGCAGCTGAATCAGTTTTGGCTTCACAGTAGCAATGAGGAGTGGTAAAAATGTATTACCTTTTATAGATTCTGTTTATTTTTGGCTCATTTATAAATGAGACTGTGGAGATGGGTGTAACTGGTGGTGAACGGCAGGGGAGAGAGGTGTGGGGTACAGCTCATGAGATCAGTGTCAGGTGAGTTGATGGGTCCAGGTGCTGCTGCTCTGCCTAATTGCTGCTATGCTTGTGCACATAGTAGGGTGCTGGCCCGCAGAAGAGCAAAAGAAAGACAAGGAGGAGGAACTCTACCTGCATTTTGGAGACGAAAGACACTGACTGGAGAGCGCATGCTGCAGATATGCGGCCGTTTTATGTTGTTTCTTTGTTTTGTGCTTGGTTTTGGCGCCTTACGGAAAATAAAAGACTATGTTCTCACGGCGATTCATGTGTCTGTGCTGGGAGAGCTCATGGAGGTAGCGAGACGGCTACAGAGACAGATAGAATAATGATGAAATATTCTCATTTTAAGCTTTGAAATCACAAGATTTGGAGACGTTTTCTGATGAAACAGCACATCACAGATAAGTGGTTCAAGGACCATTGGAAAGTTGAAAATCTGGCTGTTTTTACATTTTCTTGCTCTAATTAAAGGCACCATTTTGGTATTTTCTAAACGATGACATGTCTTTCATAACCAACACTGGGTTTGAAGTTTAGTGACTTAACCTGACAAACAGTGATGACAGGATTTAAATATGGATTACATGGATTACTCTTTATCTTCTGCTTAGCTGTTGACGTTTCTTTGACACATCCCTTCCTTTCTGTGGCACTGAGTCTATCAGTAGTTTTTAAAAACAGCTCACTGTTAGTTTCTAAGAAGTTATCAGCAGGAGGAGGTTCATTTTCTGGACACTATTTTTAGCAGTAGGTTAATAAATATTTAGTGCTGTAGAGGGTATTCCCAGCAGCTGATTACACAGCGTGACACTGTGGCTCATATTGTTGTTGGACAACAATAGCTCTCTATGGCACAGAGGAATAAGATAAATACGGCTCTGGATACACACAGTACTCGCCAAGATGAGCGAATCATTGTTGGCGTTGGCCATCTCGTGGGATTTATTGACTATGACAAATGTATATAAAAAATGGCAAGGACAGGCAGCGAAATGAAAAGAAAATACAGGAAAACGAGAGGAAGGAAGTGAAGCAGTGAATGAGAGAGGCAGTGAGTAAGTGGGTCAGTGACAGAGAGAGAGAGAGAGAGAGAGAGAGCAAACTGTGAGTCCTCAACCACAGAGAGCGAAGAGGGAGACGAGTGGCAAACATCACCGAGAGAAAACACATCCAGAGCTCGATGTGGTCTGATCTGCCGGGAACAGAACTACATCCAGAGTCTCTTTGAGCTCTGCTGAGCCCGACGCTGCCGGTACCAAACCTGATCTGGATGCTCTGCCTCCGACGATCCTCTGATAGCACCACGCGCTTTCAGGACGTCACCAGAACTCGTATGTGGAAACTTTAATTCACTGAACTGCAATCAATCCTTTGTTTGATCTGATACCACCAGCAGGGTTTGTCGAGGCACTGAGGAAGCTCTCCTGGTACCAGTTGCTCTCTTGATGCTCCTCCAGAACCAGACTTTTACTTCTACCTTTATTTAATTCTTCTGGGATGCTCAAAGCTGAAGACAAACTGGAAACTTCACCAGTTTCAAATTGTTTTGAGCCCTTAAACATCTCTGAGTTCTTCTTGGATGAATGTGTTGTGGACTCTCTACCAGTACCTCCAGTATTTCTGACCAGCACTAAACCTCCTTTCATGTCTTGAGGTTCAACACTTCTTGTTTCTCTGGATCCTCTGCTGTTTCTGAACTACCCCTGCATATAAGAGACTATTTCCAGACTCCTTACCAGTGTAGCCCTCTTCTGGACTTTCACACCTTCTGGATCCTCTTCCAGCAGTTTGAAGATATTCATGGCTGCTCTCTTTGTGCTGGGAAAGATCCAGATCCAGCGCTAGGCTTTGGGGTGAGCAGTATGGTGGCAGGGCAGAGGCCCTTTGGCCTGCTGGTACAGCGGTTAAACTCTGGATGCTCTGTGGAGTTCAGCAAACAGAACAGCAAAATGGGAAAACAGTTGGAGGTAAGATTGAGGCTGGCTGAGTCTTTGTTTTGATAGACTGAAACAATGTGCATCAGTACATATGTATGTTTTTACTTATGTGCATTTGTAGTGCAATCTTCAGTATTGTTTAGTGGTATTGTAGGACACAAGGTTTGCACATTTCACACCATGAGTCCAAGATAAACATTTGCATTTACTGATTTCAATGTACAAGAATTGTGCTAAAAAGCAACATAGTCAGGCTTTCTCTGTGTTAGCCGACTTGACTAAACTGAATCACCAGTCAGATGGTGGAAATCACGACGGTGGTTTTCAACTCTTTTTGTTAACCAGGTTTTCTTCATCATGCATCAGTGCATGTTCACATAAAAGGGGGCGTTTGATGCGTCATTTTGTGTACTGCCGATTTCAGTCAAGAGAAACAAGTTGTTAAAATGGAGGGCTGTGAATAATACAAGAATGTGTTGTTGTAAAAAGGTAATTTATAAATAAGGCAAGAGGGGAAGGCTCGTAGAAAATTGTAAATGGTGTAAATTAATATATTTATTTTTACCACTTAGTGCATGTCAGTGCAGCTACTTCTGACTAATGTGACAGCTGCACATTACAGCTGTTAAACTTTAAGCTTTAGACAATGAAAGAAGTGGAAGAAGTAAAATTAACATTATTAATTGAATATTTTGTGTAATAAATACCAGTAGACTAATCAGTTTTCTAATCCGTGTTCTACTATCTGCAGTAGCAGCAGCGTAAAACAGACGTGACAGCAGATAAGGGACAAACATAAAAACACATTTATGCATTTTCTGCATCACTAGCTGAATGCATGTAGGTTCCCATGGCAACATGACAGTTTGCCTCCTGTAGCTGCACAGCTTTGTTCAGAGACACTAAAGTACAGCTCATACATACATACATACATACACACATATATACATACATACATACACACACACACACACACACACACACACACACACACACACACACATACATACGTACATACATGCACACACGGTATGATCATGAGAAGAACTAGTGAAATGGAGACGCTTCTCACAGCCAATTTTAATCCCAAACTCTGATTAAAACCTCTTCTGGAGCAGGTTAGGTTAAAAGAGGGCAACCTTCATGACACTGAAAACTACGACTTTAGCCTCACCACACCTCACTAACCCATTAATCTCACTTTGCAGCACATACGAAGGTTTAATTAAATATAATGTAATACAGTTAAATTTAATTTAGTGTAATCGATTCTCATGTTAGCTGTTCTAATGTGAGCTAATATGGTCTGACTTATTTAAATATAATACCTGATCATGCAAACAGCCTGATTTAATATGTCATAGCCTGATTGAGTCTAAACTAAATAATTCCATTGTTCTTCCAGTCTGAAGACAAATTAATCTAAGCTGATTCAATCTAATTTCAGTCCATTAACTTTACTCTCATTGACTTGATGGTCCAATCTAATCTGTTGAGCATTATATATAAGAAATTTAATGCATGAAGAAACTCTTTGCTAGTTTTTTATTTACTTTCTGCTTTAATTCTGCATAATTTCCTTCATTTTCTGCAATAATTTCTGCAAAACATCATTTTAAGTATATGCCCACAATGTTATTTCAGGATTACTGTCTTTGTCAGTTGGTATTTGTGTATTTACAGAGGGACTTGTGTTTGCTCCATCTGTTTTTCTTGCTTCAAACCAAAGCTATCAGTGAAGGTAAATGGATTTCACTTTGTGGTGCTTAAAGCTTTGGAAAGTCAACAGAAACAGCAGAAATATTTTCTCCCTTAAAAACTGTTCTATTGCTGCAAAAAGTGATAGAAGTAATAATTGAGACCTGCTTTAATCTTCTTTCCACCTTCATTTATTCACTCCATCTTTCTGGTGACCTGTAGTTTATTTTTTGAGCATCTCAGTAAACTTAAAACCGCCCACTCTCGCGAGATGTGCTGTCCTCTAGTCCAGACTAAAATATCTCAACAGCCGTTTGCTTTAACACTTCACACAGACACTCAGGTAGTTTATCCTAATAACTCTAATTATGCCACAACGATGTTCAGTACTTTGGGTTGTGACTAAATAACTGAAAAATGAATGACATTCCCATCAGCCTCAACTGTACTTTACGTTTCATACTAATTAGCAAATATTAGCTAAAGAAGGCAGCAAGCATCAGACCTGCTCAACACCTACATGCTAGTATTGTAATTATGAACATGATGACTGCCACATCGATTGTTGTGTCACAAATATGACCCTCAACTTGTGACTGTTTAAATTTCAGTTAATCTGTTTAGCCGCTAATTGTTTCATCTCTCAGAAAACATTGTCTTGCGTCTAAAGTGTTTTCATCATATGGATGTAATGAAGAGATGCTGATACTGTCAGTCAGTGAGGAATAAGATGATTTCAGGTCAAACTTTGGGATTGTGGTTCCTAAATAATGTGGCTAAAGCTTCTTCTTCTGAATGTCGAGGTTTTCATACGATGAATGTGTTAAAATGCTTTAAAATGCGACTTTAAAGGTAAAACATGCAATAATTCATGATCATGTTTGGTATTACTGTACTACCTCAGAATCATTGCCAGTATTATATCTTACTTTTCTACCCTAGCCTGATTTTAGCTTACTTAGATTTGTTTTTGGTGATGTTTCTCACTCACGTCTTATTGGTTTTCTGTTAAGCGCTGCATTTTCTCGTGTTGTGTTTGTTCTCTGAGCAATGATTGTTGCAAGAATGTCCTTCAGGATAAATAAGGATATTTTCATCTTATCTTAAACTGTGGAATCAGTCAGTCAGTTTGCTGTGAACCTGATGTAATTAGATAACCAGCTCATTGTTGACCAGCTGCACTGAATCGATCTTTGTCAAACTGGATCAGTTGAAGCTCCATCACACACAGAAACCCATCACAGCATGTTCAATGGAAACTTCTCAAATGTAAATGCGAATAAATAAAATATTTATTATCCTCACTGAACCCAAAATCACTGAAAACAATGAATACGTACTGAATAAGTACAAAAAGACTGCATCATGAGAAGTCACATTGGCCTTAGTTTCTAATAATTAACGTCATCAGACTCATCAGACCTCCATCAGGCTTTCAAGTCACGTATTTACTTTTGGAGAGATCATCGAAAACGGTTGAGTGAGCTTGAATCTGAAAGTGAAACTCTGTCTTTGACTCCAGGGAGAACAAAAAAAATGATGAGTTAGTGACTGATTTGTTTGTGGTGGGCTGGTTCCTGACTGATGAAGACAGAGTTTGGTGATTCCTGTGTTCCAGTAGGTCAGCTGACTGCAGGCTGCCGGCACAGCTGAACACAAACACATTGATTTATTGTAAGTCTGCATCCAGGACAAGAAAGCCGGTGGCAACATGAAGGCCTGATTTCAGTGTGTGTGTTACTGTGGGGACATACTTGTAAATGTGTTTATATGGTCAGATTGTCAGGACAGTGGAAAGACTTGGAGAGAAGGTTAAAGGTAGGGTTAGTCTCCAAAATAATAATGTTAGACGACACAATAGTTATTTACATTAGCATGATCAGAAACAGGACAAATATGAAGCTAAAAGCCTTTTGAAGTCCCTTTTCCAGAGAAAACTTTCAAAAACACTCTTCTGTCACAAAGAACAGCATTTTCAAACAAAAGTAAAAATGACTTCTTTTTTAATTTTTAATTTTTGTAACCTGAAAACGCTTGTACCTTCATATTTATCCCATGACTTAGAATTCTAATGCAAAAAACAGTCTGCTAACTCTTAATTGAAGAAATCCTGTTGTTGTAAACAGGGAAGGAGGTTTATGAAAACCACTTAATAAGTAATTATAAGTCTTGGGATCTGTCCCAGGTAATTTCATAGACATTTTTCAAATCATTTCTCCGCCAGAAAGTCACAGGAGACACTGTTTCCAAGTCATGGGATTTAGGGTGAGAATAAATGCCAGGGACTGCCCATCAGTCCTCTAGAACTGAAAGTGAAAACTTCTTCAAGAGCCAGATAGAAGTCCCCTTGCCTTCTACTGAGGTTCTGACCTGAATGAGTGAGAATCTCCTCTGACATGTGACCATGTGTTTAAACAGAGACATACTGATTTCTTTGTACAGAGGAGTAAACCACAGTGACGTTAACTTGCTACAGGGAACCAGGACAGTCTGAAGTCGCCACTGGGTCTCTCTGCCAAGAATTTATGACTCCGTCATCACTTATCCAACACAGTGACCATCTTATCAGATGAAGGATTGTGTAGTCTGAACCTAGCGTAGGTTAGTATAACGTCCTGTGAACTGATGGGAACATGACTGTGTGAGGGTCAGAGTCTGGCACAGAGCAGCAGACTTTGAGTCACACTATTGTTTGATACGTTAACAAAACAAAGTCGAGTTTCCCGCAAACTTCTACGTCTGCACACATGCAGCTGCTTCGTACCCTCAGACTGGACAGCAGTGCTCAGTCTCCAAGTACAAGCTCTTAGCCAGACATTGCGTCAGTCAGGTCAGTTGTGTATTGACGGCACATCCATCGGGAATATAACAGTTCTGGTAATCACTCATATTGTGTAATTCATTATTTAATAATAATAATTAAAAAAAACAAAACCTCAAACTCTGGTTGCAACTTGACCAGAGTGAGCTTCTCTACTTTTTCTTCACTGTCATTATTTGGACCAATACAGAACAATACCATCATGATATGTAAAGAAAGTTTCCAAATAAATGAAAAATAAAAATTGCCATCAGTCAAAGCTATCTTTAACATTTTCTTCCCTTCATGTGTATGGTAAACAAATTACTTTAAAAACATGATTGCAGGAAGATGGAGAAAGACTCTGTAACCATAACTCTACTGTTTTCTGTTCATATGTTAGTTAGTGATGCTGAATTGTCTACGATATTATAATTTTATTATACTACAGTCACTTACATTACATGTTTTCACCAATACCAGCATAATTCCAACCCACAGTCAGCCATAATGCCCATAATGCTAACATTCACCTGTTAAAAAAAAGCAAAGGTGAGAAGATCAGTGCAACTCTGTGCGTTACATAATAAGTTACAGCAAGCAGCAAGTTAGCCTAACATAACATTAAGACTGGACACAAGGAAAAACAGCTCACTCCTTCCATCTGAAGCTAAAAAATACCATGATCTTTATAAATTCCTAGAAGACACAGAACCTGCCGTTGTTGGCTTCATTAGTGCTGTGGCCTGCAGGTCTTTGTAAAAGTCAGTGAGCAGGTTCATCATCAGTTCTGCTCTCTCAATATTTAGAAGACGTGCATGTGTCACCCCTAATGAAAACATAACACAAGATTTTTATATCAAAAGCTTCACTTACAGATGCAGCTGTGCCTCCAGTAGTTTCCACTGTAAACACTCAAAGTGGTGCGTTCAAATTCACCACGATGCAAGAAAGTCTGACACTAAAGTTTTCCCCTTTTAATATGTCCCTCCACCAGAATTCAAAGGGAAACCTTCACCTATGCACAGGAGTTTTATTTCTGAGTGATAATGTGAACATATTTCCACTCTGCTTTCCCCTGCAGGAGCCCAGCACCAAGCGCAGTAAGCCTGTATCCAGGGTGACCTCTCTGGCCAGCCTGCTGCCGCCCGTCAAGACCGCCCCGCTGAAGAGGATTGGTCAGACGCTGCAGGTAAACCACCAATCACCAATTTTTAAATTAACCCTCTAAACCAGTACCGCAGTTTCTGAGCACTTATTGTACCTAGGACATCCCGTCACATTTTTATTCACTGTGGACTCATGTTTCACTGCAATATAAAATCCTGCACCTCTATGGAAACAGAGCAACCACGAATAGAAGCAGAGAGACTCAGACATGTGCTGTGTGCCATATAGCAAAATTAAAATCCCTAAATTATATATATAAAAAAAAAGAAAAACAAAAGTTGAATTTGTTTGATTACTTGTTTTACCAAAATTAGAAGACCTCGAATCTACATGTGCAACATTTTTCTTTACTAAAATGTATTTACGTACTATAGATATTTTACTTTATGCATTTTAATGTTGTTTCCATACTTGTCTCCTCTCTGCTCTGTGTAAACACAGCCTGCTGCAGTGTGGTAAAAAGTTCCTGAACTTCTGTCAGATGACTGCTGGTCACAGCTGGGCCACTTAGATTTCCCAGTTGTGCTGAGGAGGACTGCATTTTTTTTAGCATTTCTCAGATTCTGGTTATTTCAAAAGCTAGTTCAAGGACTGTTGGAAATGTGAAAATCCGATATTTGTTTCTGTTTTTGCAGTTTCTAACTCTATAGACATTGTGTCATTTTGGCAGTTTTTTTTTAAAGTATCAGAAACCTTTCAGGGTTGAGGCAGTGTTACTGAACACAGAAACAATATCATAATCTGACAATTTAATCTTACAACCACCAGTTAAATAACTTCACCTAAATACTACAAGACCCATCAGTCTTGGTCAGTTTTGCAATAGAAATGCAGACTGTCAATATGGTAGTGAACTCAAAAAGTGACCTCCAATCCCAATATTCAAAAGATTTACGTTGACAATATACATATATATCAACAATTTCCCTGAGGTTTGCACCAAAGGGATCAATAAAGTTCTATTCTATATAATAATAATTAAATTATAGTACAATTACAGCATCTTTTTTCAAATACTATATTGTTCAACCTGCTGTTTGTAGTATCAGTGTTTATCCCCGGTCCTGATGATTTATCCAGGGGACTTTTGTGCTGATCTAAGCTGTAGAACAGAGCCAACTGTTAATCATAAAAACATTTTCTGTTGCTGATGAAAGTAGGACATTTTAAAGTAAAAATGTAAACTATCCGACTGTTGTAACAGTCTCTGTCCCTGCAGCGCTCCATCAGTTTTCGTAATGAGAGTCGGGCAGAGAGAGCCGCTCCTCCTCCTCCTCCTCCTCCCTCCTCCACAATGAAGACACGCGTTATCTCAGCGACGCTCTCGAACCCTTCGTCTTCCATGCCACGGGTTTCCACGGCAACGGCCCCAGCCTCCAAACGCCGTGACAGCAAGCTTTGGAGCGAGACGTTTGACGTCCGACTGGGAGCGATGCAAACTCTGAGCCCAAAAGACATAAAACGACAAGAGGTGAGAATCACGCTGCTGCTGCTGGAGTTACATTCAGGGCTTTAATCAGGCACATGGTTACAATATGACCATGTTTTTATTCCTTATCACGACTAAATAGTTTCTATCAATAGATAAAGAACAGCAAATTCTATCCTAAACTAATTTCTAAAGTAATCTGCAGTTATCTGTTTCCTTAAACTTTCTTCTCTCTCAGGCGATATTTGAGTTGGCTCAGGGCGAGCAAGACTTGGTGGAGGATCTCAAGTTGGCCAAGAAGGTAAACAGAAACTTTAGTTTGTTCCTAACTCCGTTTCTTTTAACCCTCTAAACTCCAACAGGTTTCTGGGTGGTTTTTTTTTGCTCCCACCACATTCTTACAGCATTTTTCAAAGTACCCACAGGTGTTACCAAAAATAGTGACTCTACATGCTACAGATAGTTGATTGTAAACTGTGTAGTATATAAACTACATAGTTTATTGTAAACTATATATAGAATGGTTTATGATTGATTTTGATGAAATATCACGATTTTAAGCTTACATTTAGTTAAGGTTCCCAATGGAACGTCCCATCACAGATGAGTATTTCAAGGATGGAAAGTTAGAAATCCATCTGGTTTTGGCGATCAAAAAAATAAATAGAATGCCCTCCCTTCGAAACTTTGCGGGCAGTTTGGGACTCAAAAGGTTGAAAAAAAAATAAAAAAAATAAAAATTGGTCCTTGAACTAATGATGTGTGACGTGCTGGTCATCGAGAAATTTACATTATTTAAGCTTCAAATCATTCTAGTCCATCAAAATCACTTTATTCTACATGTATGATTTAAATATTTACCCAAAATAAAGAATTTGCAACAAATTCTGTAAAAACCACAGAATTCTGAGCTCCTTGGTGTCACCATGAGGCCATGAAGAATCCAGCTTTGACCAACAGTCACGTGACAAACATTTCAGGCTGTAGAGAGGAGAGGAAGAAAACAGACTGAGAGACTAATAAAACAATCAATACAATAAATAATGACTCAAAAATGGATTCAGAGGAGCAAGTTGTCAGAAGATACATTCAGAACGGTGAAACATCTTTCTAGAGTCGATGTGCAAAGTGTTGTGGAAAACATTTAGTTTGTAGAGGCTGCAAAAATGTAAGTATGGAGAGCCAACACTTCGTTCTAGTATTGGTAGCATTTGTGGGCATTTGGAAAAATGTTGAACATACTGATCACATTTTTTTCACATTTTTGTAAAATAGAAAAGAAGGAAAAGAAACTAAACTTTTGTTGTTTTCTTTTTTACTATTTAAGTCATTCTAACTGTGTCATACTGCACAGACATGTCTGAGTTGTCTCGACTTCCAGTCATGGTTGTGCTGTTTTCATAGAAATGCAGGACTTTATATTGGAGTGAAAAATGAGCCCACAGTGAGTAAAAATGCTGCATGTGTTCTACAGTTGCTGTATTCTCATGTGTGTGTTTGTGTGTGTGCTGCAGGCCTACCATGACCCCATGCTGAAGCTGTCCATCATGACTGAGCAAGAGCTGAACCAGATCTTTGGTACTCTGGATTCACTGATACCGCTGCATGAAGGTACAGTAGGAAGTGGCATTTGTGGCATTTTTAAGTTCCCAAGATGCAGCACAATCCTTTATGGTAATGTGAGGACAGTTTAACATGTTGGGCTCTGGGCTAAATAAACACATTTGTCATTTTTATGTAAAAGTAAACAGTCTTCAGTGGATTTTCAATTTCAACACGGCACGAGTTTGATATGAAGCTGTCAGGATCAGTCTGTACATGCTGTTTTCCACTTACACACAGAGTAATAATCTGATTTCCTTTTCTCACATATATTTCGAGTTTCGTGCAAGATTCATGCATGAATTAATCCCAGCAAATTAACCACATTTGTGCTCACTGTGGGCTAATTTTTCACTACATTTTAAAATTCGGCATCTCTATGAAAACAGGACAATCATGAAGAGAAGTAGAAAGGATTCAAACATGTCTTCTGCGTAGCATGACACAATTATAAGGGCATAAATCTGAAAAAGAAGAAAAAAAAAGTTGATCAAAATGTGCAACATTTTCCAAAGTGCCCCTAAGTGTCACCAATACTGGGAAAAAAATGTAGCTTCACATACTATAAATATTTTGCTACTTGCATTTTCAGTACATTTGCATTTTGTCTCCTCTGCTCTGTGTGAACACAGCCTGCAGTTCAGCCAATAAGTCTCCGAATTTCAGTCATGTGACTGTTGGTTGTGTTACAGCCCGGCTCAAAACTCTAACAAAACAGGGCGACAACAACAGTGTGGTGACAAAAATATATTTATTTTAACCAAAAACCAATCCCAAATGTGCATCAAACAGGAGAGGACAGATTTTTTTGTTTTTTACAGTCTTGTGAGAGCAAACTTTATTTTTGGGTCATTTTTAAAAATAACATGTACAATAAAGTAATTTTGAAGGTTCAGCTTGACTCGTGAAAAATTTAAAGTTGAAAATCTGACAATTCAGTTTTGCAGTTTCTTCCGAAGGTAAATGATGTAATTTTGGCATTTTTTTAAAAAGAGCAAAATGCCTTTCAAATCTGTCGGTGGGTTTTAGGGTTCAGAACTTAAGTTAGAATTGTGTGCACCCGCTTGTCTTTGACATAATGGACATTCCTTTATATGTAAAACTCCTGTACCGTAGCTTTAAGGATTCAACAGCGAAATAAGTTTAAATATCCATTTTTTTTGCAGTCTTTTGAAGCCTCCCTCTCTGTCTCACACAGCAGGTGACAAATACACCACAGAACAGTTCAGTCATAAAGCCTTAAGGAACATTAACCTGTACATACATGTACTGTATGTCTGGAGGACTTGGATCCAGCAGATAGATAAAGTCACTCATTTTACTGAAAACAAGCAGTTCCTCTTATTGCCACCAGACAGTGGCTGGTGAATAGAGCTGGATGAGAAACTCAAAGTCATGGAGTTAAACTATACACTCAGTGATCAGGGCTGAGTATAGAACTTTGAACCGACTTAAATGTCAAAAACTGACCTCAGATACCATCAGCTGACATCAACTGATTG